AGAGAGAGAGAGAGAGAGAGAGAGAGAGAGAGAGAGAGAGAGAGAGAGAGAGAGTCTCTTTCTTTGTGTGGGTGGGGTATTTTCCAAATACCGCCATAAGTTGACTTAGTTGAGAGATATGTCAAAATGTCCCTTAAGAGATATGGGCACAGTGGAATGCCCAAGCCTTTTGCAGTTGCGCCTACAAAAACTTGGCAACTGCCAAGGCATTTTGGAAAGTTGGGCAGCATCCGGTATGGGTACATTGCAAAGATGGAGTCCAGCTGATGGCTGTGGTGTTTCGCAAAATCTTTTTGTCATCGTAGCTGCGGCGGGTCCACTTGTTTTAATTATTTTTTGAACGGGCCCAGTGCCCAAGGCTGATATTACCAATAAGAAGATTGAGGCCGGGGTCCTCGCAGTCTACCCGGAGTGACCGAACCGAACCAAACTTGTTGAGAACTGGGCTGACTGGTTTCAATTTCCTGCGATTAATACTTCCATACCCCGACCTCACGGTTCTTCTGTGGACGGCGACTCACATCAAGTGGAACCCCTACCTTCTTCGCCCGAATACAACGCACAGTCATTATAGCTTTATTTAGACTGAAAGACGTCCTAAATACAGCTATAATGACCATGCGTTGTATTCGGGGGAAGTCTGGGAAGAAGGTAGTTCCAACTGTCGTTTGTACAAATCTGGTCATTTATGGCGTCAAATGGTGCTGGGATACCACGGATCGGTCCGGTTCCTGGAGCACACCCGTTTGGCAGGTCCCCCCCACCCCCCCACCACCCACCATCCGATAAAGACGGTTCCCCCCCGCCCCCCCATTAACCCGGTCGTTTGTTGTAACGACACGACTCACTCAGGCTAATGCGAAATGAGGCCTCCTTTAACGACCATTTCATTAAAATGGACATTTTTTATTTTTTGAACGAAATGGAAACCCAGTTTTTTGGCCGAAAACTCGTCAAAATTTGTTGTTCCTGAGGGTAAAACGCTGGACCCCCTGGCTGTACATGGACCTAGCTTGAGACGAGGCACCTCCAGGCAGGACAGCCTGGAGGTACCTGGTCTCAAGCTAGGTCCATGTACAGCCAGGGCCCAGGGGGTCCAGCGTTTGTGCGTTTTACAAACGCTGGACCCTCAGGAACAACAAATTTTGACGAGTTTTCGGCCAAAAAACTGGGTTTCAATTTCGTTCAAAAAATAAAAGATGTCCATTTTGACGAAATGGCCGTTCTTTGAGAGTTGCAGGCCCCCCCCCTCCTCCTATTTTTCATTTAAGTCCCTTTGGCCCAGAAACAATTTTGGAAAAGGGACCTATCTTTTTTTTGGTAATCTGGAGTCTCCTTGTTGATTTACCTTTTCTCTTCCCGAGGGACAACTTCTAGACTGACACGGGTAATTCGGTTCCAGCCTGGAATTTCACCCCCTTGCCCAAAATCCTTGGCCAAGCCCCCCCTACTCTGATCGGTGTTTCCCTTACGGGTATGGTATGCTGCGCGGGGCATGCGGTTGTGTAGCATAGCGTAGGACCAACCTTATGACGGACAAGGATCCTCAGACGGTGCTTGTTTTTTTTATACACAAGAAGTCCAAGATCAACTCACTAGGAATCGAACCTATGTCCTACCACCAAAGAGGTGGATCATTTAACCAATAGGCCTATGTCCTACCACCAAAGAGGTGGATCATTTAACCAATAGGTAAAGTAAGCTGCGATGAAAGTGAAGCCCCGTGAGGGACATTCATTTGACCCCACCCCAGCATGGCCCGGTGTGCCCGGACTCAACTCGATCTGAATGCACATAAGGGACAACTCACGGTACTGGCCAGACTTCAACCAAGCAATACCGCAAGGGTGTCTGACCGGTTCATAAGTGCTTGTTTTATACACAAGAAGTCCAAGATCAACTCACTAGAAATCGAACCTATGACCTACCACCAAAGACGTGGATCACTTAACCAATAGGTAAGCATCGATTCCCCCTCAGACAGTGGTATCTGAGGAGCCTAGATGGTGTCTCTAAGCATCGATTCCCCCTCAGACGGTGGTATCTGAGGAGTCTAGGGTTTTAAAAAAACCCTTTTTTTCTGGAAAATGGTCCTTCACCCCTAACTTTATGATGTACAAGGGTCCTCACATGTTGTTCCTTTGAGGACACTAGATGGTACAGAGCACCACCATTGGAGGGTTGAAGCCCCTAGCTGAATGATGGACAAGGGTCCCCAGATGGTGGTCCTTTGAGGACAACATATGGTGCAGAGGACCACCATCGAAGGGTTCAAACCCCTTTTTGCAGGAAGAAAGGCCTTATAGCCCCTAACGGGCCTAACTTTATGATGGACGAAGGTCCATGGCAGATCTCTGGGAACACTAAATAGTACAGAGGACCACCATTGGAGCCCGAAACCTTATGATGGACAAGGGTCCTCTGACGACAAGTCCTCTGACGACAAGTCCTCTGACGACAAAGGTCCTAAGAATATGGTCCTGTTCGATTAGTCTGAGGGCTACCCTTGTAAAGACAGTTGACCTGCTGGCGGCTAGCGTTGACAGGTACAAATCCTTTCTCAACATCCTTGTCCCACCAAGACTGGAACAGAACTTCGATCACACGACATCCAAATTAAAAAAGTGCCTGCCACCCAAGTACGCAAGGGGGCCACCCAAGGAAGGAAGGGGGGAAGGAAGGAAGGGAGGTGAGCAATGATGGGAAGGCGAGAGAAAGTGAAGCTCAAGCGTTGGACTCACCTGCGTGGAAAGAGGTCGATTACGAAGAGCACAAATGTCTCGGAAATGACAAGCTCGAACGTAAAGTGAGGCGCATCTGTAGCAGGACCCATGTAGAGCGTAAGAAACGAAGTCCCAAGAACCTGCCCATTTGCCTGGATGCGCATAGCTCCCTCAACCATGGCGTGCACTCTCTCCTTGTCCCCGTTACGCAAAATAAGTGATCCCTTGGTTAGAATTTCAGGGATGTTAATATCCCTGAGCTCAAGGGGGGCCTTGTTTTCCTCAAACAACACACCAGTTTCTCTCTCTACCTTCTGACGCATCTCTAAGTGAAGCTCGCGGGCTGTCTTGAATATGGCTGCATCATCCTTTTCGTCAATGTGAAATGGAGGTTGAAGACCAAGAGATGCGTTATCTGCATGGCTGATGGCTCGACAACATTGCAAATGTGGCAGCAGCGCCAGTGGCTTAGCATGTGCACCTCCCCCCTTGTTCCCATTATCATAGCACACACCTGGTGATGGACTTGCCCTTGCCGGGAAGTGAAGGCCAGAATAGGTAGGACACCAGATACTTGGTGCATGGTCCAGTAATGCGCGCGATCTGCTCAACCTGCTTCTCGTATGTGAGCTACTTGTCTGTTGGAGCACCCGTGTCGGTAACAACTGTAAACTCCAGTGGCCAGGCCTCCTGCAACCAGGCGCTGGTCTATTCCCAAGGGCGGTGACGCCACTGGCCCGGTGACTTCCTGCCAATGCTGCCACCATGCTGTCACTGCCATAGCCTACAATATGTGTCGGTGTGGCTTTCCCTCCATGGGAGAGATGATGGAGGCATCGAGCGTTTTTGACTCCATTGGTTCTCAAGGATGGCACGGTGACGGTGTGACCAGAGCCAGATGGCCGTATCGTCACGGCCTCCTCATCAACATGCGAGAAATGAGTCTGATTTGCAAGCCTGTGCTGTGCACAATTGCCTGAATTGAAGCACGTAGTGGGTGGGGGGGGAGAGCATATATACCCCCGTTGACAGAGGAAGGACTGGCCCACAGAAAGGGCGGTAGCCTGCTTAACAGCCAACATATCTGTGGATGTGAGCGGTGGTCCCACAAGAAGACGTAATGCTGCACACACAAAAACACCAAATGAAATGTACAGAATTTCGTAATAAGTTTACTAGTAAAAGACAGATGAAATGGCCGGTTAGAGTCATTCATTTCTTAAGTTCTGGAGTTGTCTGTAGATCACACACACACACACACACACACACACACACACACACACACACACACAAACACACACACACACACAAACACAAAATAAAATAAAAATGAGTTTTGTATTTGTCTGTATGTTGCTAAGTACCTCTTGTGTGGCTAAGCGAGCACATGTAAGGAGTGTCAAATAGTTGGTCATCCTTTGTTTGGAGTGACTGCAGCACTACTAGGGGGACTGTTCTGTTTGGGATGTCTGTGTGTCGTGTCGCGGACGTTTGTAGGAGTGATTCCCCAGCTCAGAAAGTGGTGGGAACCAGAAGTATGTGGGGTTCACTTGTGGTGTGAGTAGGTTACTGTAGCCAATGTACGGCTTTGCTCCGTGTTGGGGATGTGTGGACTGCCTTGTCTGTGCTCCACTGTTGCCTTGCTGTGTATCCCACTTGCTTACCATCTTGTTCTTTGCCGTTCGTGTGTTTGCTGTATAGTGTGGCTGCTTTATTTGTATTATCTTTCGCTGCCCATCTGCGTGCTTTGCCTTTCTGTACAATTTGCTTGTGTGCCGTGTAGTTTTGCTGCTTTGTTGGTGTTGCCCCTTGCGGTTCGCTGTCCGTTGCCTTGCTGCCCGTCCGCTTGCACTGTCGTTCCTCGCAGTTAGTGTTCACGTTATATGCAGTTGGGTGGTCCCGGCAGTGTTGCCTGGTGCTTTGCTGAGTCGATGTGCCTGCTGTTATGTTCCGCTTGTGGTGTTGCGTGCTGGCAGTCCGCTTTCAACGAGGGTCACAAAGGGTTCATGACCCAAAGCATTAGTACGAGAACTGCGCAGATTGTCGAGGGTTCAGCCTCCGGATGAGTCAGTGCAAGCCTGACGAAACAATGTATCATCATCAGTTTTTATCATACTTGTGGCGCATCGACATGCGCTGCACCGCGCACATGCGCCGCACTGCGCACAGTGCACGACGCGCGCGCACGCGGTGCGGCGCACCCCGAAAATAAGGGGTCGAGAAAAAAAAAAAAGTTCGGGAGGGGTGTTTTAGACCCGAGTGGGATGTCGCGTCATAAACCACAAAACAATATTAACAAAAATTTGAGGCCACGCGGGGCCTCCGAAAAAAAAAAGGGGGGAAGTTCGTTTCTTTGCTTGTGTGTGTGTGGCATACTGCGTAGCCACACGGGCCCTGCAGGGCCGGTCCCGGACATTCAGCCTAAAAGCCTAAAACTTAGGGCTTACAGGCCCCGTTCGTTTCAGCCTGGATGCTGAAAAACGAGGGCCTGCAGGCCCTACCCCGTTTCAGCCTATTTCTGGGTCTTTTCAGACCCAGAGTTTTCAGCCTGAAACGGAGGGCCATTTTCAGGCCCTCATTGTTTCGAGCTGCCCCTAAGACTCAGGCACGTAAACAGGGATGCGGAACAGGCCAGATATAGCCTGTTCCTCACGAGTTGAGCAGGAGCTGCAGCTGCAGCCCCTGCCTCCCTTCGGCAGGCTCAGGAGGCACACCCRTAGTACATAGGAAGTTCCCATGCACTTCAGGGGTAGGTAGTTCAGTAGGCACGAGGTAGTCTTCAGGATATCGGCCGCAGCACTCAGGAGGAGCGCTGCAGTAGTCTTCAGCACTAGGCAGTAGTGGTAGTGCTAGCTGTAGTCTTCGGCGCTGGGCGCCATAGCTGTAGCTGTAGTCTTCAGCGCTGGGCGCTGGTAGGTGGTAGATCGTAGAGTGGGAGAGAGACTGGCGGAGGCCAGTGTTACTTACCTGTGGCGCCATCGCTCCAGCTCCATCTTCGTGGT